GAGTTAGGCTTAAAAACCACTTTCTAATAAATATCTCTTGTAGTCTTGTTTAATTTTCAGATTTTAGAACATGAGTCTCGTTGTTCTTTAAATACAGTCATTAATACTGATATGAAATTTCCAAGCACATGGGTACTGGTGTGAATCTTAGAACTAGAGAAAGAAGCATCTATTTAACTAAAAAACTTTCGATTTTGTCTAAATACAGGATCCTTTCTGAGTTTTTGGGCTTGGAGACAATGCTTGCGATTGTCTGCAGTTCCTATGAAGGCATTAATGCACTGGAGAAGTATGATAATGAGGGCTTGATAAACTGTAATGCTGGATTGTATGGCATAGGGTCTTCAATTGGGAAGAGAATTAATGGCAGGTTTTCTGTCATATCTCTTGCAGATTTAAGGCAAGTTTGACAAATATGTAAATTTAGCTTCTCTTGTGACATTTTTTTAGCAGCATAGGTTCATATAAAGGGAGACAGACATAAAGATCCTATTTATGATTAATTTTGTGTGGCATGTGCAAGGTCTTTTTGTCTGTTATTCTCTTAATAATATGTGAAAAACTCAGTTTCCAACTCTATACATTCATAGGGGATATAGAATTGGCTTGGTGGTAAAAGTAGAAGGAAAGGAAGAATATCCGCAAATAAAATCTAGCATTAAAAAGTGACTTTTACCTTGAAAAACAAAAATCTCTACATGCATAATTTAGAAGGAATGTGAACCTCTTTACTCATGACAACTTTTTTTAACAATTTTTTGATACTATTTTATTGGTCCGTGTATATTTAAAATAAACCAATTAGAAGCTATTACATAGGTTGCTGTAAAAAAATTGTCAAAATAAGTTGTTAAAAAGACATTTTCCTTTGCTCATACCTTTTAAAGCAATGTTGTGGTTGTTGTTATTGCAGACCCTTTGTTGGAGGGTTGGTAGCTGATGATCCAGAAAAGAAGTTGGCTCTTCCAAAGCCAAGATTACCTAATGGGGAGTGCCCAGCTGGGTTTGTGGATTATGCAGTAAACATGATCCATTTGGACTCAAAACATTTATCTTTTGTTACTGAGATTGGGTATGGTCTTAGAGAGACACTATTTTATGGACTTTTTTCTCGCCTACAAATATATAAAACCCGGAAAGAAATGCTGCTTGCTCTCCCATGCATTCATGAAGGAGCTTTGTCATTGGATGGTGGGATGATTAAGAGAAGTGGCATGTTTGCTCTTGGTAGCAGGTCAGTGTCAAATTAAGCTTCCCCTTTCTTTTACATCTTTGATTTAGATGATTGTCCTTTTATTTTATACCCTTCTTATGATAGTTAATATTACTTTTTGGTTTAAGATAAATATTTCTATAGTTCAATTTTGCTCATTTCAATAACCTAGAAGAATTTGATTTTGTTAGATTATCAATCACACAAATCAATAATTAATTAGCAATAAACCTTTCCATAAACAGAGCAGTTCTCAATCCCCTTTAGAACAAAAAACATCCATTTTATAATAGAAAACGGAAGCGTACTTAGATTGACAAGGAACAATTAATGAATAACGAATATTGGTATAGATCTTTCCTCTATAAAGCACCTTAGGTTTCCTCCTCTGGATTTTCTAGGAGATGAAGAGAAAGAAAGGAATGATAAACATTCTCATAGACAAGGATTATGACTCTTTTATATAACCTCTTTCAGTTCATTTTCCTTAAGTTTTAATATTTTAATTTGTCTCATCAACAATAATCTTTTCTTGACATATACGTTCTTAACCACAATTAATTAATTATATCATTTCATAAATTGACTAATAAAATATAATTTCCTTAACTCATTTAATGATTTGTTATATATATATATATATATATATACATGAACCAAATTCCTAACATATTTAACAAATACTTCATCCAATTGATTTATATACCCACAGTATGTGCTCATCAGTATGCTTTACACATTAGTTTTTTTATATGCTAAAAAAAGGAATTAAATGTGTTTTTAAGTCTCTAATTTGGATACAAAATTAAAATTCATTTTTGTTCCAAACTTTAAAAATGAACTAATATAATCTATTAATGCAAATTTTTCTTTACATGTTAAACGGTGTTTTTAGGTTGGCATTTGAGGTAGAACATGATAAATTGTATATACAACTTAAATCCTAGCCTAGAATATCATTTAACACCTAAAAAAGTTAACATTATTGTGTTAAAACGACTATATTCAATAAGTTTTAAAGTTTGGTAACCAAAAAGTACTTAAATTTGAGACAGAAGAAATTCAATTTTGAAATTCAATTTTGTGTCTGTTTAGGGACTAAAATCAAATTTATCTCAAGAAAAAATCACACCAGTTTTTAAATGTTCTACTTGATGAAAAATGTTTTTTTTCCTAATATATTATGAGCCATATTTGGCAAAACTAGATGGTAGTTAAAAAATTTTCAAGTTAGCATACTAAAATATAAGTATTTGACGAAATTATTAGTTAAACGAGCTTATAAAAGTAAATTACATATTTGGACATGTTTGTATGATATTTGAGATAAAATTTTATTTTTAATGGTAAAATATATTTTGAGGGTGGTTCTAGTTTTAATTTTAAATTATTTTTAAACCGGTATAATATTTTAATTTGTAGATAAATTATTTGTTATATATTTATTGTTTTCAATTGTCAATATTTTTCATATTGTCTATTTATCATTGAACTCATACTATATCTTGCAGTATTTATGTTCAAAGCTTAAATAAAGTAAAAATAGAGTTAAAATGCATAGTGTAATACGAAAGATATCTAAAAATATACCATCTTTCAATTTTGATGTGTTGAACTACAATCCTGAAATAGTAAAAGAATATTTTAACTGATATAAAACTTGAAATAAATCATATATTACAAAAGTATCTTGGTGATAATAATAAGCTTATTGTCTATCATTGTAACGATTCCAAATAAGAAACTTTTACCATGTAATAAGAATTAAAAATAATAAAATCATGTCTTATATAGGAAAATTTTAAAAAGGAGATTTAATAAATGTTTAAAGGGCAAACTGGGAATAAATGTTGAAAATTTGAAACGAGCGTTTTAAAGAACGTACTTCTGATTAGTAACGTGCATTAAAAGAACTTACTTATGGTTGGCAACGTGCAAAAGAAAAAAGTTATTTGTAACGGCGTTTAAAAAATGCTACAAACTACTGAAAAAAAGTGTGTACCAAGTACTAGTTTTGTAGAGAGTCATTCAAACTTTTCAACTTGTAAAAAAAAGGAGAAACTAACTCAAATGGACATAACCACGCATATGTCAATGGATCGGCAATTGACAGTTTTAATTGGGGAACTGCTATGATTACCAAATGGATAAGTTTCGAGGGGAAAGGATGTAATTTTTATTTTTAAATTTAGAAGGAAAGCTGTACCAAATAGCAGGCAATAATCCCCAAACCAATGCTTGCAGCTAGAACTACTTTATTAAGACTTTCATTTTTTCCTCATCTGACTTATAATATGACCAATTTATTTCTTTTCTTGGTTAAAGCACTCTTTTCTTTCTCTTGCTTTCATCTCACTTTGGATATATATTTTTTTTGGCTTTATCATGAATGACGTTTCACACAACACTCCTGCTGCAGGAAAGATGTAGAAGTGAAGTTTCCTTTAATTTCTGGAGGATCTGGTGTACCTCCAAACTACATTGAAACTGAAGAGGCAGTGAGGAAGCTGAATTGGGAAACATCTAAACTTAGTGCAGATAAGCACAGAGAGCAGCAATTATTAGATTACAGAAAAGGGAATCTTCAGTAGGCGAACCTGAAAAGTTATTTTGCAGGACATGTTAACAACTAATTAACCACATTTAATTGTGTATCAGCTGCTAATTTTGTGGACCTTAGTTCACTAGGAATATGCCAAAAAAGGAACTGGATATATGCATAAATAGACACGACACAGTGAACTTCTTTTTGTAACCTAAAGTAGCTATGCTTGCTTATATCTGATTCGTAATTTCAGTCAGGAGAAACCTTAGATAGTTTAGCTTCTATATTTCAATGATGCAACTTGCTGAGCACTTCTACTTGGAAATTGAATGTTACATGAACACATCCGAATTCTTATATGCACAAGTCTTATCTTCCAATTCCAAATTGTTTTCTGATTAATATGATGCCACATGTGGGACTTTCTTTCAATTTTGCTCCTGCGAACGACCAACAGGTGTTTTCAAAATGAGACTCTGTTGATGTAGTCATTAGACTTTTGGTGCACAGCAAAACGTCACACAAAATGGTTCTCCAAAAAAATAATCTACATCACCTTTACCCACAATTTATGTTTCACTTAAATCATCTATCTTCAATCCTAATATTGCTATCATCATTCTAGACCTTTTACTCTTTGGTGCAGCTCAGTTGAGACACTGCTACAAATTAAGCCAGTGTTGATAAGATTTACATAAGTGTAACTTTTAAAAATTCTAATTTTGATGTAATTGACTATGATATAGTTCTTCCATAAAAAGAAAGTAAGATTTTTTTTATTCTGAAATTAACTTAAGAAAAAAGCATTTTTTTTACTGGACAAGAGAATTATTTCTAAAAGACAAGAAATAATTTACAAATTGGCTTAAAAGCTTACTTCGTCTTCGTGTTAAAAGGTGAATTTCTGTTAAATATCCGGTTTTAAAAATGAAGACATTGGATTCCTATGTTATGAAAAATATATGAATAAGGTCCACAAAAAAAGAACAAGTTCAACAAATCATACAAAAAAAAAGTTGAACAAGAGAGAGAAAAAGCTGGACAGCAGAAGAGAGAAGAAAAAAGTATGGCCACATCAGCATAGACTTAACGCTGTTGCTGTCAACTTAACAGACATGACCTTATTCATACACTTTTCTTAACATAGGGACCCAATATCTTCATTTTTAAAACCGGATACTAAACAAAAATTCATTTCTTAACATGAGAACGAAATAAACATTTACACCTTACAAATTTCATACCCAAAGTCATTTGATACTTTTGTCCACGGCATTACACAACCCCACACTACCGTCCAGAATCAATTTGCTACAATAGAATAGTTCAAAATTGTTAGAGCGCACGATAAATTTGTTACTAATTCAAAATTGGTAGAGTCCTATCAGGGAGGACACTAAATCAATTAGTCAGTAGTTTGAGCAAATTAAATTCATCAAGGGTATCTGACACTGAATGAAGTTGCTATATTAAAAAAATAAAAAGGAGAGACTATACCAACTACTATAATTCAAAGACACTTCCCTGTCACAAATATCAAACTCACTTGCCTGCCCTAAAAAAGTAGATTTATGTGCTTTTGGTCAAAATACAATGCATGTTTTCGTACAAACTTACTCTGTAGGAATAGAAGCCAGAGTATCAACTTCTGTGGTAGATGTGCTGACATCATCTTCTGCTCTCCTTTCATTAGTTTGCCTGTCATTTCTTCTCCAGCAATTTTTTGAAAGATGTCCCCTCTTGCCACATATATTACAGGATAAGCTCCTCCTGGCATTGATTTCTGGCCTATTCCTCCAGATTCCTAGTGGCTTATAGTCAACGCTCCTCTGTCCACCACCTCTACTGCCCGGGTGAAATCCCATACTGTAAGAATGTTCACCCCCTCGTTGTACTCCACACCGAAATTCTTCCTCTACCTGTATACATTCCATTAACTTCCAGAAAGGTAAATATTCCTCACGCGATAACCTGATGCAGAAGTCCTTCCAGGATGGTGGAAGCTTTGAAATGATGACACTAACATGAAAGTTATCGTCAATGAATATTCCAGAAGCAGCAATAGAATCTGCAATGCCATTTAGGTCTCGGACTTGCCCAATCACTGTTTTTTCATCAACTATCTGAAATTCAATATACTTTTTCACTTGAGATCTCTTGGTTCCAAATTCCTCATACAGATAAACCATTTTTAGCTCTTCCCATAATTCCTTGCTGCTCATTTTTCTGTTCACATACTGGTTGAAAAGAGGATCAGATAAATGGCTCAAGATATTGCGGCAACACACTACATCATCATTCAACCATCTCCTTTCTGCAGCCTTGGCTGCAGCAATGTCTTCAGCCTTTGCACCTTCCCCTAATGCAGCATTCGGGCATGGTTCAATTAGTACATGTTCAATCTTTAATTGTTTCAATAGTGATTTCATCTGCTGAGCCCAAAAATGGAAATTCTTCCCATCAAAACGGACAACTTCAATAGGGGCTATAGGCTCAAGTGGAGAAACAGGGACAACAGGCTCAATAGGAGCAACAGGCTCAAGAGGAGCAGCCGCGTCAACCGATTTTGACACATCTTCATGTTGCTTACCATTAAGCTCCGATCTACATTTAAATGTTTTTACTGCAGTTAAAAAACAATTTTTACCATACATTTATCTGCATGACTAAACACCTACCAACAGGTTTTCCTTCCAGAAAAAAAGAACACACAAATTTCTCCAACTAAACTTACAATAAAGAATATCAGAAATTCATAGTTAGTAATATACCAAGAGAATACAAAAAAAAATAATTCTGAGCATATGCACTCAGCAATTTCCACTGCATCACATTTCAATACTTACATGATCAATATCATTGGAAGTCATCCTGTCATACTATCATATTGCTCACATGTCAGGATTGCATACTCACCTCATCCTTCCTTCCATCTTTAAGATAGCTTCTTCTATTGCAGGAACACTTTCCTTGAAGATTGCCCATTGCTCAGAAGGTAAACTAATACCTAAAATCATATACAGGAAAAGGGACATGTCTAGTTTCAAAATTCAGATTAACCAAGTTCTCACAGGAAAAGGGACATGTTTAGTTTCAAAATTCAGATTAACCAAGTTCTCAGTGAGACAGAGTCACCAAGTTCTCAGCAGAACAGAGCCACATAAACTCAAGTATTGATCCTCTAAAGCTAACTCAGATCTCAACTCAAATCCTCTAATTTATGATGTAGCACCTAGCAAAATACAAAAACTAGGACGAGAATAATAGTTTTGTCTCATTAGATGACTTTAGTTACATTAATCAAGTGAAATCATCAGACATTAAAATGTAAAAGCTCAAGGATATTATTGACCATGAGATTCTTTAATATTATTTCTTCTAATGTGATTTTTGGCCTCCTCTGCAAATTTTTCAAGAACAAGTGATATACTCTCCTCACTTTGCCATAGTGGTTTTCTTTACGTCAATATCACGTATAAGGAATATAGTATTGGGTATAGTGCTATTAGTATTTGTGTGCACTAATAATGAACTTAATTGATTACTTGGAAAAAGATATTCTAATGTTGTTCATACCTGTGCTGTTTTCCAAAATAAAAAGACTGAAGGGATAAACCTATTCTCTTAACGTGTTGAAGTTGAATCTAGTTTCAATCCCTTATGTGAATTAGGTTCAGGTTTCAATGATGTTGTCTTTCATTAATGATGTCTCTTAGTAGTGATAAGACTCATAAAAACTGATTTTATTTTCATTTTTTTCAATAATATTCATACTAATCTCTTACTCTAGGCTAGCAAGATAAAAACAACAGTGATTTTTGCACTGTAATAGGATTAACTTGAAAAAAACTACTAACCATGGCGAACATACAAACACAATTTAAAATTCCAGCAAAATTTACAGTGTGAAGAAGCATTATATAAAGCAGGGAACAGCAAATTCACATGAGCAAACAATAGATTATGTAATCACCTTTACAACCAGGAAGTAGTTTTCCATCTTTCATATAGAACTCCCTAATTGAGACTAGTGACGTCCCTCTGAATGCTTTCACGGATACGTTCCTCCTGTTGGACAGCTAGACCAATCAAACAAAATTTAAAAACATAAATTAAATACCCTTCGTAAATTTGTACAAATTGGAGTTCTGCTCTTCACCGATTACTCAGTCTTAAACCATAGGGTGCAGCCTAACAAAAAGAAACAGACGTTTTAGGGTTTTATTGAATATGGAGGAAGGAGAACTTACATGACAAATAATACGTTCAGGATCTTCCCTCTTCAGTTTCACCACCTCCGTCTCCTCATCGGCCTCGGCCTCGACACTGACTACATTTTCCTTCTTCTCCCCCTTTCCATTGGCCATAATGGAGAGAAGATAGGACTCAACTATGCTTCTAACAAAGTGTTTGCTGATGGAGTCGGAGAGGTCGATACCGAGTCTCTCCGAGGCAGCGAGTCGTATGCCGAACTCAGTGGCTTCTTCCATGTTGGATTTGTTCAGTATGTCCAACAATGTTTCCTCTATTTTTCTTTGAATTTCTGATTCCATCCTACCAGTAAAAGTAAAACAAATTAGAAAATCAATGTCTAACAATATTGGTGATTCAAGTCCCTGATATATGTTGTGTGTGAGGGGAAGGATGAATATAAAAAATAATAATAATATATATATATATAGCAAAAAGGTTCCACCGAGATTTGAACTCGGGTTACTGGATTCAGAGTCCAATGTCCTTACCACTAGACCATGGAACCTTTTGCTTTAACTAATTTTGTGTGTCTTAAAAATATTACAACTGCAGAAAAAACATTTGGATTCGGGTTCCTTAATTCAGAGACATGTGTCCCAACCACAAGATTAGGATGGAGAAAAAAATGTGCAGTAGGATGACGGGTAGTTATTCTTTGTGAATATTTACTATTCTATATTACCTAACCTGTGAATACTCGTTATCTACCAAACTAATAAAAAAAATTAATTTATATATTTTTTAATTAAATTTAATTAAAAATAAAATAATATTTTATTAGATTTAATTTAATTAAAATTAAATTTTAATTTATATTTAATTTAATTTATATTATATATATATTTTGTAATTTTATTTTAAAAATGTATAAAATAATTTTTTTTGTAGATATCAGTTGGTATCTGCAAATTTTAAAATATCCGTAGATATTTTCTAAACGATACGCGAGGATAATAAGTCGGATAACAGATATAATTTTATCCGGCGGGTCGGGTTACGGATAGGCACTACCCGTGTCCAACTCAAACTGTTGTCATCTCTACACAGGACGACATAACCTTTTATATTTTTTAATGTAATTAACTTAAAATAATATTTGTAATTGATAAAACTATATTATACATGTTGAATATTTTATCTCAGTTTTAGTTACAGGTTTGATGTTGCATAGTTTGTAATCGTTGGATTAAATATCATGTGAAAATAATCAATTTAAGATAATTTATATTGTTATATAAAAGAATACCTCTTTTTAGTATTACCTTTTGTTATCCTTTCAATTCAATAGTTTTATCTTTTATTATTTATTTAATAAAATAAATAATTAAATCACCTTTTTACTTAAAAATAACTACATAATCTTTTTTCTTAACTACGAAATGTATTTTTTAATATTTTAATATTTTTAAGAGTATTTTTACAAAATTATATACTTTTAAAAACTATACTAACAATAATGGACGTGTTTTATTAATAATAAATTTCATTATCATCTTCAAAGAAAATTATTTTAAAATATTCTAATTTTATAAATATTTTTAAATTATAAATATTATTTTATTAATATTATTTTTAACTGATCATTTCTTTAAATTTAATTATTATTCGTAACATCACATTTTACTAATATAATAAATCATCAAAATAAGAGTTACAAGATAATCTACAACAAACTTGATACTTCAAGAGAAGAGAAATCTACGCCTAAAAAACAAATGAAATTATCTATATTGATATTTCACCATCAACACCTATGTTGAGATAATTAGAAAGATATTCTCCCTAAGCTCACACCCATTAAGGGGATCATGGCAAAAGAGAAAACATACAGACAAACAAAAACAAAAACAAGGATAAGCTAATGATAAAACAATTTAACATGGAAAAATAAAATTCAATATACACTTTCAATCACACAATTAGTAGAACATCTTCCACCATTCACACATATCAAAACATCTTTCCCTTTCACACCACTGACTCGAACTTAGCCAAACCCTTTATAATATAGTATAAATGTCGAGTCATGGAAGGTTTTGCACTTATGTGGTAGAATAATTGACTCGCTCAAAGCTGCCACACAAGGTTAGTCCTTAAAACCCCCTTTGCCACCATGAAGAAAGGCCCCCAAGCTAGGACTTCCTGCTCCTCTCACGAAATGACTCATCACTCTCTGATTGAGCATGGATGATCATTAGAGTGTTAGGATAACCCATACCGGCTTTTTACAGTTTATACTATTTATACACATGAATTCCCTAATAAGATATTCCTCCTTGGAATTCTCTTTTCCAACCTTGAAAACCCTTTGAAATCATACATATGTCCGTACACTTTCACATTGAACACCAACATATAACATCACTCATCATACATTAAAGAAATAGAAACACTCATACAAGTCATTAGAAATCACACAATAATAATTTTCTTCATAGCTACATGATACACCCACTTAAGCAAGGAAAATAGCTTTAAAACCCTCACCAACAACTCTGGAAGGTTCTAAAACCCCCAAAACGACATAAAGAATGTCAAAAACTGATGCTCGAAACCCCAAATTTGGTATTTCCAAAACTTGAAACAGAAACTAAAATTGGTGTGGTAGCGTTCAGCGTCTAGAAGCTACCCCTTAGTGCCAGTGCCACTAGAATGGTGTCACTCAGCGCCAGAAAGTTGGCCCCTTGGAGTGGTGGCACTCAGGGCCTAGTTTGGGCGCTCAACACTATCAACAGAAACTTACCCTTTTTAAATTATTTTTCCCACTTTCCCCACAACTTCTAAAGACTCTTAGGACACTCTAGACCTTAAGAAAACTATAAAAACACTGTTGTAACTCAAATTTGTCACCCCAAACCCAAATTAAGTTCTTTAAGCTATCAAAACCCATTTATTCTTCTTTTAACATTCAATCCACTGCATAAGTTGCATAAACCAGTTTTAAATGACTTGATAACATACCCTAAACTCTCCAATTCAACCTAGAATCACTCCCTTAGAAATTCACTACCCAAAACCCCTCATTTGGACCAAAAGCATGCAAAATACACCCTCACAATCCTCTATTGCATAATGCAACAAAATTTTATTGGTTTAAAGTCTTAATAAGTCCTAAATGACCTCAAAATAGTCCCATACTTCTACTTTTCTCACATCACCATTCCCTCAAAAACTCACCTATCAAAACCTCCAATTTCACTCTAAAGAGTAGAAAAATGAACTCAAGTGCTCTTTCTCAATCTAACTTCATAATATAACTATTTTAGAACTTAAACTAATTATACAAGATCCTATGACCTTTACCAAACTTCATATTTCTCTTTAAACTTATTATTTAAAAATTTGAAATGCCAACACCCATCAATTTAAACTACTAAGTAGTACCTCAACCATTTCTCTTCATTAATATCATCTCCAATACAATTTTGTATTTACTATCATACCAATTTCAATATACATGCACTCACACAACATACATACATACATACATACATATAAACACAAACACACATCATAAAGCACAACAATCACTTATTCACCCAATTTATCATATCCAAGTTATCATAAACCACATTAAACACACCAATAACTGATTTCAAACTTCCTACTACATATTTGAAAAACGAAATTAGTTTTCTCTTACCTCTTAGAAACTCCAGCTAACTCTAAAGAACTTTACTCTCCTCCCTCAACTCAAAGAGATCAAACTACACCTACAGACCTTGAAAACATTGTTCACAATAAAATTACAAAAATTATTTTAATTTTATAATAATAATAATGGTAATTATATTAATTTTTATTATTATACAAAATATGAACGCATATATTTTCATTAGTGTAATATAAAAACAAGTATTTATAGCTCGCATAGTATGTTGATTAAAAGTAAATTTAATACATAAATTCTAAAATTAAATTTTGATATATTATGAATTCACTGTTGTATATATTATGTTAGTACGAATTGGATTTAAAATTTAAATGGCTGTCTAGAATATTTTATAGTACTAGTTTTAAAGTTAGAATATTTCTGAAAAACGTCATTTTGAAAAAGAAAAAAATATAAGTTTAAATTAATTAATCTTTTACTTTATATCTTAATAAAATTTCTATATTTATTATTATGTTTAATCCAGATGAAAAAACTTTGAACTATGTATACTTCGATTAAAAATAATATTTTTATCATTGAAGAAATTAGAAAAGGATTTAGTTATAATGTTTGTGGTATCAAAATTTATAAGTAGTTTTATAATTAAAAAAATATTAAATAATATGAAAACCTAGAAAATGATATTTTAGATGTGGTAGTGAGTTAAAGATAATGAGATTCTATTATTTTAATATTAAAAGGTTTTAATATAAAAGGAATGATTATAAACAAGTTTCATTATTTTGAAAACCACATTTCTAGGATCATTTGCCTCCTCTTTTTGCATCATGTTCATCCGTTTGAAGATAGGAGACTGCATATATAATTCTTGTAATGAAATCTTCAAGTTTGCTCGATCATTTTCTCAAATAGAGTAAGTCAGATTTCTACTCTTTTATCTAAGTTTCACGTTCTTCAATGCATGTGAAGTTTCTCTTTATCACATGTATGGTTTGAGTGTTCTCTTAGGTTCTTTATTGATCAGTGATTCTAATGGTACTTTTTTATAAATGATATTTTTCATATCCAATATTTTCTAAAAAATATAATAAAATTACATAATGTATTTTTTAAAATAATGAATTGAATAATAACAATATCATTTATTTATAAAGAAAATGAAAAAATAGAAATGTGTAAAAAAAAATGCTTCAGACAATTGGTGAAGTTAGGAATAAGAAAGTCACGAGAATCTTGGAGCATGAAAACAATAATTTTAGAAAGACGGTGACATAGACTTTACTATTTAGTCCTTGATTGAGTGAGAGATATAATATTTTATTTTGTACATTTATTTTGAGATGGTAGGTGGATGAATCATGGATGGCCCATGTTCTGAAATGTCCATAAAATGCAAATCAGCTTTGGATAAGAGTTGGATAGCAATATTAAATAAAAGAGTAAATTGGAATAGATGAAAAGTATCTCGGACTTGATTGCTAATAAATAAAATATCAACATGTCTCAGAAAAAGCATTTTTTTTCTCTTTTCTCCGCTTATCTCTCAATAAATAAAACATAAACTGATATAAATTAATAATGTGTCCCTTTAAGATTACGTAATAATTATGTTTTTAGAAAATATTCACAAATATTTAAGTATCTATTAATCTAAGAAAAATTATGTATAAATTTTACAAAAATATTTGTGATGACAGGTTAAGAAGGAAATCTAAACAAGTAATATAGGTATAGTATATTGACATAACACA